CGGCACACAAGGCTGTATCATTTTGTATTTTCACTAGCAATGAGACTTGCCTGTTATTCCCACATCCCTGATGATAGAGTGTAACCAACCATAGCCTTTTAGATGTTTGGTGAGAAGTGGTTTGTCAGTCTTGTTTTTATTATGAATGTGGACGTTTTCTCATATGCTTAAGGGCCATTTTTATAACACTTTTTGTGAATTTTCTATTGATACCTTTTGCTCACTTTCCTCTTTGTGGGCTTAGAATTTTTTTTAAGTTGTTAACTAGGCAGAAATAGCTTTTAAAACAATTTCCATTGACTGAAGGAAAAAACTTGAATCACCAGTTGTGGATAAGTTATGGATTCTTTCCTCCAGGAACTCATAGTCTACAAGCTCAATACTCTCAAAGTGGGTATGAGCCAAAGCTTTGGAGCCAGACTGCCTGAGTTCAAGTACCAGGGCTGCCACCCAGGCCACGCATTTTACCTTTTTGCCTTAGTAACTCTTTTTGTAAGATGAAAATAATAATAACATGTAACTCTGAGGATTGCTATCAAGATGTTGTTGTGGTGGTTAAGTGCCGTCGAATTGGTTCCGACCCATAGCGACGGTGTATAGGTTTTCTGAGGAGTTATTGGTGAGCTTGAACCACCGATCATACAGTTCAAACGGCTTTGCAGTCTGGCGCATTAACCCACAGCGCCACACCAGGACTCCTATTATAAGGATAATAAGATATATATATATATATATATATATATATATATAATATTTTGAAAGGTTCCTGGATCACTTAGCATGCCATAAATGTTAGCTATTTTATAGTCAAGAAAATGCTTTTAATATATTGATTTGATCTCAGAAGAATCCTGCTGTATACTTAGTTACAAAAATGAGGATCTGGAATTTAGAAAAATTAGGTGATATGGTATAATCAGAATGGTAACCTATTCATTCATTCATTCATTCATTCATTCCATATGTATTTACTGAGGCAGTCCTGGTGTGGCGCTATAGGATAAACACTGGACCACAAGGTCGTTTGAAATGCAAGGTTGGTGGTTCAAACTCACCAGCTGCTCTTCGGAAACCCTATACAGAGTTGCTAGAAGATGGAACCAACTCAATGGCATTAGCAAGAAGCTATGAACCAGGCACTGGAGATACACCTTGATCAAGACAGATTTTTGAGTTCATGGAGCTCACTCTGTGGTGATGAAGGGTGGGAGGTATGGAAAAAGAAAAATTAAAAAAAAAGGAGGAATACCATTTTCTCTGTCTTGTTCACCACTGGGGTCTTCAGCATCCATAGGCTTGCCAAGACTCCTTTGTTAAATGAAAGACTGAAAGAAGGAATATTTGAGAAGTGAAAGTTAGATTGGATATTTAGATAGAACCCAGATCCTGAAAGTCCTTGTCAACTATTCTGAAGAGTCTGGACTTTACCCTGAGTAAAGTGGTGCTGTGGGATAAGCACAGGACTGGTAACCACAAGGTCGGTGGTTCAAATTCACCAGTCCTCCTTGGAAACTCTATATAGGGTTGCTATGAGTTGGAACCCACTCTAGGCTCTTAACAACAACAACAACAAAGTTTCTTTGAGTCTATAGATTCTACAGAATCAGATTTGCATTTAAGAACAATACTCAGCCTTCTGGCTGTGTGGAGGACCCACAGGAGGACGGGCTACAGGAGGTAATTACAAGAAGTCTAGTGGGGAAATGATGAGAACCTAATTCAAGAAGAAGGCTGTGGGGATTAGAGAGGAAGTAAACAGGAGACAGAAATCGACTTTAACTGGAGGAGAAGGGAGGGGAGAAAGAAAGAAGTCTAGTGTAACACTGAAGTTCATAATTTGGTATAAGAAATTAACTGTGATAAGAAATTAAAGAAGGACTGCTGACTAGGTAAAATGGAAAAAGGCATTTTAAGTATAAGGATTTGAGGTGATCATGGGACTAAACTCAATCTCTTGACTGTCTTTGTATTTGTCTTCTCTAGCCTTCTTAGGTTCAGCACCTGTGAACTTGTCCAAGACACTACACTGTACCTGCAGTCTAAGAGATAAGCAGTGATTTGGAGTCCTTGTATGGTGCTGTGGGTTAATGTGCCAGACTACAAAGCCGTTTGAACTGCAAGGCCGGTGGTTCAAGCTCACCAGCTGCTCCTCGGAAACCCTATACAGGGTTGCTATAGGCCGGAAATGACTCAATGGCAGTTAACAACAACATAGAAGAAAAAGACACCAGTTAATTGGCTAATTGGCGGGCTGTATAGCCTTAGGAATCGCCTGAGTTCCAGGAAAATAATGTGGTATATTCGGTGCTGTGTACTGCTAATTCTATCTGGAGGTTTATACTGGATTGCTAATTCTCTGACAGCAAAAATATTCTTCTTTGCATCTTCTCTGATTCGCATAAAGAGGGTCATGCAAACCATATATAATGGTTTCAGGAGAGGAAGCAACATTAGTGATTTCTGTAAGGAAATAGAAGATCAAGAAAAAAAAACCTGGTCACAGGCGATAGCTTGGTGAGGGGTTTGGAGGAGGAGATGGGGATAAAAAGAAGAGAAAGAGTGTGAAAGCAAGTTCACCTGCAGGACATGAATTACCTATAGTAAACATGTAAAGAGCACTGGGTTACTGAATCGGGAAGGAGGTACCTCCTTCTTTGGAGATCTGTGTTTACACAGAGCAGCTCAGTTCTAGGGGAATGTGATATGGGGCTCAGAGAGGTGGAGTGTGTAATGGTGGTAGTTGGGGCGCCCCTCAAATCTTCCCTTTTGTGGAAGACAAGAAAAACCCATCGGCAGACAGAGTAGGGGCGGAGTGACGGCGCCGATGGGCGGGTCAGGGAGGGGAGGTGGGAAGTAGAAAGAGGTGGGGCTGGTTGTGGGCGGCGCTAGGACCTGCCGCCTGTCCCGCCGGTTCCCGGGAGGTTGATAAAGCGGCGGCGGCGTTTGACGTCAGTGGGGAGTTAATTTTAAATCGGTACAAGATGGCGGAGGGGGACGAGGCAGCGCGGAGGCAGCAGCCGCACGAGGGGCTGCGACACCGGTGGCGGACTAGCGACCCAAACACCGAGGTTAACCACGTCTCGTCCACGACCTCTATAGGTACGGGTTGGCTGGGCGGAGGCCGCAGGGCCCGGGTTGGGAGAGGGCGCGCGGGCACCGGCCGCAAACGGCGGGGTTGTAATCTTCGGCTCTTTCAGCTCTCCCGCCGCTGCGTCTTTCGCCGGGCCTAGTTCCTACTGCTCTTGGTGCTCCCGCTGCGCGCTGCCTCAGAAGGCGGCGCGAGGGCCGCACCTCCCGCAGCTGTCGGGTGAACTGGGGCCCGCGCGTCGGCGCCCGGCCCCTTGCCCGCCCGCCCGCCGCGTGGCTATCGTGGTGTCCGCCCCGACCTGAGGGGGCGGCCTTGAGCCAGGACTGCAGGCCCGGGGCCCGGGGAGGTCGGCGGCGGGGCCGCCTGGTCCCGGCGAGCCCTGGACGTGGCGGGTGGTCTGTCAACCGGCGGGCACTTGCTGCCCTTTCTTTTCCGCGCGGAGAGGGAGGCAGGGGTCTCGGGGCCGAGATGGGGCCCACGGAGAAGGACGGAGATTGCGCGGGGAAAGCAGGCACTGAGCTGCTAGGTCGAAAGCTCTCCAAAGGGAACCACAGTCTGCAGGCCAGGGTTGTGCCTGGGGCGCTCGCGTCCCTGGACTCTGGTGTCCAAACCCATTCGCGTAGATTGCGCATGCCTAGGGTTGCAAGTTCAGATTTAGTTGTCAAACTGGGGGCAAGAGTCAGTTACTAGTCTCAGAGTCAATAGTAAGGTCCAATCAGACTGAACGTGTCAGTGGTGTGAAGTCACCTGATCATTCGTTGCCTTGCTTTGCTGAATGTGAGCTCCTACTGTACGTGTACATGGAGCGCCTCTGCCCCCTCGAAGACGCGTTTGCTGTGGCAGCAGAGTGTTGTGTGTTCCTCTCGCTCATAACACCACTATTTTTAGGAGTTTAGCATTTGATCTTTCACTGTGGTGTGAATTGAACGCATTAAACCCTGGTTGAGAATTTTGATGGTATTTAAAGGCATAAAGTTTTTCAGAGGTTTATAAATAGTAGAAGCTTACGTTGGGTAAGTACAACTCGTAGATGAGAGCTTATTAAATACAGTAAATGTGATCTTGTTTACAGATTTCTTGCTTATCGTACCTGATAAACGTTTTGTGAGATGAGATTTAAAAATCTTTGATTAAATACGAACTCGAGGACTCATTTAATAGAAAAGTTTATATGAAATATACTTACTCATTATGGATAGCCAGTGAAGAGGTTGAACCATATGCCAGAGTTTGGCTAAGGCAAAAAGAAAACGAAATAAAGCTTATTTTATTGCTTGCCAATCCAAGCACTTAACAGAACAGTTTACAATGGTAGTGTAGCACTCTATAGAAAAAAACACTACCCAGAAAGGGACTTTTGCCTAAGACTTAGCTGGCTGGAATTCTCTAGGGAGTTGCTTTGGAATGCTAATGATTTAGTTTCACTCTTCTGGGCCCTAGTGGATGGGCTTGTACTTCTACCTCTCACCCCCACATGGTAACCATTTTAGATGTCATTCCAAAGTGTTTTCATGTAATGGGTTGTTGGTAAGTGTTTCCAACTTAGTCACCTGACCTGGTATAGGGTTTGTGAGGAGTGGTTGGTAGGTTTGAACCACCAGACCTTATGATTAGTAGTCCAGTGATTAAACTACAGTGCCACACCAGGACTCCTTAATTACCTTGCTGTTGTTGTTGTTGTTAAGTGCTGTGGAGGCGATTCTGACTCAGCGACCCTGTATAGGTTTCCAAGAAACAGCTGGTGAGTTTGAACCACCAGCCTTGCGGTTCAGACAGACATTGAGCAGACGTTGCAGTCCAGCGCATTAACCCACAGCCACACCAGGACTGTCAAGTCTGTCATAGTGACCTCAAGAGGAGCAGCTGGTGAGTTTGAACCTCACATCTTGGAGTTCCCACAGTGCCACACCAGGACTCCAAGTGCCTTTTTAGGAATAGCATAATTTTATGACTTGATTAAAGTTATGAACATTGTTTTTATTTGATAGTACAGCGAGAAGAGATGAAACTCTTAAGATTCTTCGTAGGTCAGGTCTATCATTTTCAAAATACTGTTGTCCATCGGAGGAGGGGGGCACATTTAACTTTCACTTAATAGCCATTCCTATTTAATGACTATCTAGAACAGTCTCTTGCCTGCTAATTTGCTATGAGTCATCTGTTACTGCGTTAAAAACAAACTTGTTAGGGTTTGTTATAGTAAGAACAAACTGGCTGCAATTGAGTAGGAGGAACTCCTCTGGTTTTGACTGACTAGAAACTGTCTCTGCTATTTGGAGACATAAAGTCGAATAGCTTAATGCAGGGTCAGATGTCACTCTAGTCCTGTAGTTACAGGAATATGTTTCTCAAGTGTTTCTCTTAAAAGAAATGCTTACACCTTTTAGGAACTTAGATATAGTGCTGTAGGATAAGCACTGGGCCACAAGGTCTGTTTATTCACCAGCCGCTCTTCAGAAACCCCAGATTAAGATCCCTGTGAGTCAGAATCAACTTCATGACACTTAACAACAACAACATAAAGCACTTATATATATTCTTTGTGGCTCTGAGTCCTGGTATGGCTCCATTGGATAAGCACTCAACCTCAAGGTCTGTTTGAACTGCAAGGTTGGTGGTTCAAATTCACCAGCTGCTCTTTCGAAATCCTATACAGGATTGCTATGAATTGGAACCGACTGGATGGCACTTAACAAAGCATGTAAAGGAGCCTTGATGTGGTGCTGTGTGGCCCTGTGGATTAATGTTCTTGACCGCAAAGTCGGTTTGAACTGCAAGGTTGATGGTTCAAGCTCACCAGTTGCTCCTTGGAAACGCTCTGAAGGTCGCTCTGGGTCAGAACTGACTCAACAGCACTTAACAACAACAACAACAAAGGAGACTTGATGTTTGGCTGCTAACCTCAAGGTCAGCAGTTCGAATCTACCAACCTCTCTGTGAAGAACAATGAGGTGGTCTGCTCCCACAGAGACTTACAGACTTGGAAAAACCCTATGCAGGGTCCCTGTGAGTCAGAACCTGGTACACCACCACCATTATTGTTAAGCGCCATCTAGTCGGTTCCGACTCAGAGTGATCCTGTGTAGGGTTTCCAAGGAGCTGCTAGTGAGCTTGCACCGCCGGCCTTGTGGTCCAGCTCATTAACCAGCCGTGTAACACCAGGACTCCTAAACACTTACATTTTCATGATTTTGTAGGTTGATA